TTGAATTTGAGATCCCCCCGTCTCCACCCCCCTACCCTACCAGAATCTCTTGTATTACTTTGTATACCGCTGGGAGAAAGTTTTTTATTTTTTTAAATTTCTTTATTGATTATGGTGTCACATAATTGTCCTCATCCTCCCATTCCCATCCCAAACCCCTCCCCATGTATGTGCACCCCCTGTTGTCCATGACCTCTGGTTAGGCTTATATGCATGCACACAGTCCTTTGGTTGATCTCTCCCTTTTACCCCACCTTCCCCTACCTCCCCTCTGAGGTTTGTCAGTCTGATTGCTGCTTCTCTGTCTCCAGGTCTGTTTCTGTTCGTCAATTTATGTTGTTCATTATTTCCCCTAGATGCGTTAGATCATGTGATACAAGAAATTCCCTTTTAAGGACCGAAACTGAGACAAGCCATAATGATTATGCTGAGAGGCAAATGAATCAGTCGGTAGTGAGTTCCTTTCTGGGCCAACAGTTCTTTTGAGTCCCCATTTCAATGTGAAACAGTTCCTTATGTGTACATGTCAGCCATGGTATTTCAGATCTGTTTGACTGACAAATGGTGTTGATGCAGGTCTGACCGTCTCTGGTTTGGTCCTGGGCATCCTTTAGCAATGCAGAGCTCCTGTCTGCTAGTATGGCAAGGCGTTGTCAGCGTCTTCCATCTCTGGACTGATTCTCTTCTGTTTTCATGGCTGGGTGGGAGAAAGTTTAATGGGCTCAATACTACCCTTTAGGGAGAGTGAGGGGGGATTTTTTTCTGCAAATACTTCTGTGGGTTTTGGGGAGAAGGATGAGCTGGAGCAGGGCTGGGGGAGCTGAAGTCCAAGAATTTGGCGTGGAAGCTTGCACCTGCAGCCGTGAACGCTGGCTCCACTTTTGCCTTCAGGGCAATGGACAAACCTTATGGTATTATTTCCTAACCTGCCTCTAAAAAGGTTAACACGTTAAGCTGGGGGCACGTAAAGTTTGGTCAAGACCAGTGGACTTAGATGGGAGTCAATCAGAAATTTCTAGAAGTTATTTCCAAAGAATTTCCTGGAGCTGAGCTGAGGGGATGAAACTGATACCATTGCAATTGACCTAGTTATGAATAAAACATAACTTTGATCTGTGCTTTGTGTGAAAGGCTACTATAACAATGTTTATCATCCCTATTTTATACTGATGCACTTAATCTCAGGTGCCCAGGAAACAATTTCAGAAACAAGGTTTCGGCAAGTTTGAGACACGGACACCTGACTTAGAAACCCCCAAATGCGAGCCCAGTGCTGCCAGAGATATTCTGGCCCCTTTCCTTAGGGACCTTCATTGTATGAAGGGCAGCGGCATTGTGGGAAGCTGCATGGTCCTGCTGCCCAGCGGGATTAGAACGCCCTGAGCAGCCCTGTTTCTATTCTGGGCGTTGGCTGTGGGGACCTCCTGGAGGCTGACAACAGCTGCCCTGGGGCTCTGGGAGGGGGTCCTCCTAGGAGCAGTGGGGCAGCTGCTGTGTGTCCATCTTTCCCTTACCATCCTGGAGGCCTTCCTTATTCCTCCTCCCTCCCTCCCTCCCTTCCATTCTCCTAACACAGCCTTTCCCACCAGGAACTGTGCATTTATCAGTCTCTATCAAAGCAGCAACCCCTGCCTGAAATATTTTTATCACAATTTAAACAATTGATACTCAGTGTGTCTTGAGCTCTTAAGTGATAAGTGTTTCCAATGAAATGTTCTCCTTTATTCGAACAACTCGAGACCAGTAACTTATTGCTCATTCTTAGGGTGATGTGGTTTCCCAGACAAGTAGCTGTTGACATAGATCCGGAGAAAAGGAAAGACAGACGGGCCTAATCTTCATCTGGAAAAGAAATGGGACTTGGCTGGGCTAAGCCTGATGTGCCCTGAAGTATTGGTGTCCTGCTCATGATGGTATTCCACACTGAATAAGCCAGATGCTGGGACTGAATGCATTTTGAACGGCCGTGTTTCGATGTGAATGTCATGTTGGAATCCTATGGCCAGACCACACTGATGGCAGGAATTAAGGTTTCCTTTAAGGGAGTGGATTTTCTCTGCACCCATAATCTCAGAAGGAGGTAAATCCTGGGACAGGGCACGAGTCCTAGGACACTGGGTCTTGCCCTTGGAAGTGCCTGTGGAGAAATGCCTTTCTCTGGGCCTCCTGGCTAAGCAGGGACCCTCGTGGAGTGACCTGTGCCAACGCGTTCTGAAAGCAGCATTTTCTAGAATGTGGTTTTCAAGGATTTCTGCATTGCTATCCCTTTCTATTGTGCCCAAGGCTGGTGGACAAGTTGTTTTCACCTTCCCCATATTCATTTTTCCCTTTTCTGGTAGCAGCACCTTTAATTTCCTTCAGGCAGCTGGATTCCCTACCTGCTCCCTGGGTTTCAGACAAGGCCAGACCCATGCCAGGTCTTCATGTGACACACACCTGGTGGAGGAGCGTGCTGTGCACCCCTGGCCATAATGATTGCTTCAGGGCTGAGCACATGACCTTGGCCCGTGGACTCAAGCAGGGTTCTCCAGAGACAGCCCCAGGACTTTGGGGGCTACTGGGATGAACCAGCCTGGAGCTGCTGGGGCCTCCACTTGGAGTGAAAGCACACAGACGAAACAGAACCGAGAAAGGGAGCGTGAGTCCTGAGAACGTTCTTCGAGTCTCTGCTCCAGCCGTGCCCAAACTAAGAATATGCCTGCACTTGTTCCGTTATGTGAACCAATAAACTTCCCATGTGGTTTGTCAGCGTTAGTTGGGATTTCTGCCATTTGTTCCTAAAGACATTTCATTAAATGTACAGGCTGTGTCTCTTCTATCACTGTGGGAAATTCAGGAAGGGTCTATGCGTATGCTTGGAGTAAAGTGCATTGTGGGAACGCAGAAGAAGCTAAGGAAGTGCACACAGATTTGACAGAGAAGGAAGTGGACAATGGCTGGCTGTCCAAAGTCAGGTCTTGGGTCAAGGCAGCAAGCTTCGAACTGGACAGATTTGTGGGACATGTCATTCATTATTCTTTGTAGATTCTCAGAAATACTTGGGAAAGGAAGCCTGGTAAAAAGCCCTAGATATTAGAATAATTTGGTCATTAAAAGCTAATGTTGCTGAAACTGGTTTGGCTCAGTGGGAAGAACATCAGCCTGCGGACTGAAAGGTCAAGGGCATGTACTTTGATTGCGGGTACATCCCCTGTAGGGGGTGTGCAGAGGCAGCTGATCAATGAGAGAGAATCATCGATGTTTCTAACTCTCTATCCCTCTCTCTTCCTCTTTGTAAAAAGTCAATTAAAAAAAAAAAGTGCTAACGTTACTTCATTTCCACTGTCTATATCCAGGCAGTGAAGCCAGGCAACATTTGGATGACACAGATAAGTGTTTTATATTTTGCTGGGGAGGGACAAACAGTATCGGCTGGAGTTTCAGACTGGAGACAGGTTCTGAGTCCGTAAAAGTTGTTGTAGGAGCACTCCATGGATGCAAACTACCTAGGAGGGCTGAGATCATGTAAAATACTTCGGGATGAGGTCTGATCCCAGTGGAGATGACAGTCTGGGGGCACCCAGGAAACAAACCCTGGCTTAGGGTGAGGAGAATCTGGTATGGAGAGCAGAGGGAGAGGAAAATCAAGTCAGCCTGAAGACCAATCTGGAGGAGCTCGCTCCACAAACCCTCTCTTGAAACTCCTTTCTTCTAGAAACTGTGACCACCACCTGGAGGATTAGTGGAGGGAATTGTGGGAGCTCACCTGGATGTGAGTGATGTAGAGGGTGGACAGGGCTCCACCACGTCCCCGCCCATCACTTTGGTGTTTGTGTGCTCAGGATCCTGGACACTTTCATGTCCATGGTCAGGATCCATGTCTTTGTGGGCAGGCCGCCCTCGGTCGCCAAGGCTGGAAGCATCTGAATTTCCATTCCACTAGGTTCAGACTTTGACCAATCACTAATGGGTATGGGTTAAAGTTGTAACTAGAGTTTAAATGTCTAAGAGAATTTAATGAATTTTAGGAATTTCTTTCTACGCTGGAGAGTCCTTCTTGGGCAGTCAAAGCTCACTACAATTTAAATAAAAGAAATATTGAATGAATAAACTTCAGGCTTACCTTCATGTTTATCAGTAACTGTAGCTAAATCTTTATTGTAAACGTGAGTTATGAAATGTATTCAGCAAGAAATGTAAAATGCTCAAGTCAACATCAAAATGTCAACTTCGAACTGAAAATTAGAAACACTCATAAATTATCCCAGATACTAATTTACCAAACTAGACAACTAATTACAATTATGCTCATCAATGCATATAAAATAATCAGTTCAACAACAAAAAAAATGAATGCATAAAAAGGTGCATCAATAATTACACATGTAGGATATCATTACACCTCCATTTTGGTAATCATCCGAGGTAAATGCAATTTTAAAATTTGGACTTTTACCTTGAGGTGACATAAATGTTGTTTATCTGAGTACATTTTCAGGTGTGTCTGTTTTTCTAAGTGCAGAAAATATCATTCTCGGTGAAGAAAATAAAGACAGAATTCAGAAAATGAATGCAGGTGGTATCTATTTTTCTACGCTAACAGGTAGTGGAAATGTCTGCATTTCTCTATAGATATAAAACAGAATAAAATAGTGTTTTAAGAGACACATGTTGTTGACAAGAACTTAGGTCTTAAATGCTTATCGTTGGTAAATTAGTTTTACTGTCTGTTTATGATGAAAACCTTCTCATTATTTTAGTCAGAACTGCTTTCTATTTAATCTTTGATTCTGTCACAAAGTTGGGGGTGGGATATAAACATTTTTATAGATTTCTTTCTCTAGGGTGGCAAAGGAAAATAATTACAGGGGAAAAACATTGAAGGTGCAAATGTAACTCTGTTTAGATTACTTTATGGCTATATTATTCAGTAATTTAAAAAATATTAAAACCTTAAGCATTCAAGATTTTCCCCCAGTACATCAGTCGTTGTCTCTCCCCCCCCCCCCCCCCCCCCCCCCGACTTAATAAAGGTTTATTTTTCAAAATGTACAGCCGGTGAGATCTATTGTTCATGCATCTTCTCCAGCAGCTGGGGAGTCCCCACCTTTGGTGTTTCTGGTGTAAATCACTTGAGTTCTGTGCTTTGAGACTAGTTTAATAAATCCTTTACTAAGGAGCTCCTGAAGAGCTGACCTGGCCAAGGAGCCTCTCGGAGACTGCAGCGAGGGCTATAAGCTAGTAGTTGGGAACTTCCTTACAGAGCTTGTGATACGTGGCTTTGTCAAACAAGACCATACTATTGAGCTTGTCCCAAACTCTGCCTTTGGACCCCTTCTTCTTTTTGGCCTTGTCCCCCGACTTGTTCATGGGGTCTTTGTCTTTCTTGGCGGACTTTCCAGCATCTTTCTTCTTCTTGTTGTCCTTGGATGGCATCATGGCACTTGGAGAGCAGGGATGCACTGCCTTGCCAAGATGTTGGTCCAAGAGAGTACATCAGTTTTGAAGCAAAGCATGGGAACAGATTTTTATTCACACGCCTCCCATAAAACCATGCATGTTGTATGTGTTAATTTTTTTTCTCTCTGAATAAGGGTTGGGGAAGATGAGGAGAAAAGGGAACTCTCATTTACTGTTGGTGGGATTGTAAATTTGTGCAGCCACTGGAAAAATAGTATGGAGGTTCCTCAAAAATTAAAAATACAACTACCATATGACCCAGCAATTCTATTCCGAAGTATTTATCTGAACAAATTAAAAAAGATATATGCACCCCTATGTTTATTGTAGCATTGTTTATAGTAGCCAACTAATGGAAGCAACCCAAGTGGCCATCAACAGGCAAGTGGATAAAGAAGATGTGCCAGTTACAAAATACATATATACAATGGAATATTACTTAACCATATCCTACCTAATAAAAGCGTAACATGCAAATTAACCACCACTCAACTACACCAACAAGCCATGCCCACCAGCCAATCAGGAGAGAGTATGCAAATTAACCCAACCAATATGGCCACAGCCATGGAGTGAGCAGGAGGCTCGGGTTTCCCCAGCAATGGAGGAAACAAAGCTTTCCACACACCCTGGCAGGCCAAGGCCTCCACTCAAGGCTACAAAGTTTCAATTATAGAAGATAAATAAATCCCAACAAAAATGGCAGCAGCCACGGAGCTGGAGAGAGCAGGAGGCTTGAGTTGCCTCTGGCAATGGAGGAAGGAAGTCAAGCTTCCCCAGCCCTGGCCTGTCTTGGCCTCTGCTTAAGGCTACAAAGTTTCAATTATAGAAGATGAATAAATCCCAGATACCAGGGCCTCCACTTGGGTTTCCAAGGGGCATGGTCAGTGTGCAAACCACCACAGGCCCCTTGCCCAAGGCCGCCCCATGCCCCAAGGGAACCCCTAACCTGATTCAGGACACCCTTCAGGGCAAACCAGCTGGCCCCACCCATGCACCAGCCCTCTCTGCTATCTAATAAAAGAGTAATATGCAAATTGACCATCACTCTAACACACAAGATGGCTGCCCCCATGTGGTCAAAGATCCTGCCCCCATGTGGACACAAGATGGCCTCCATAAGATGGCCAGGAGGGAAGGGAGGTTGGGAGGGATCAGGCCTGTGAGGGAGGGCAGTTGGGGTCAATTAAGCCTGCAGGGGAGTACTGATAGCTTAGTGGGTACTGATAGCTTTGAAATATTGACTCTTAGAATTTTTGAATATAAAACAAAGCCTTTTGGGAGAGGCCAGGCCCGGAGCAGCTGGGTCGGGTGTGGCCAGGCCCGGAGCAGCAGTTGCCAGGCTGGGAGAAGCCAGGCCTGGAGTGGCCGGGCCCGAAGCAGTCAGGCCCAGAGCAGCCAGGTCAGGTGCAGCCAGGCCTAGAACAGCAGCTGCCAGGCTGGGAGCAGCCAGGCCCGGAGCAGCTGGGCCCAGAGCAGCCGGGTTGGGAGTGGCCAGGCCCGGAGCAGCAGCAGCCAAGCCCGGAGCAACCAGGTTGGGAGCGGCAGTGGCCAGACCCAGAGCAGCTGGTTGTGGAACGGACCAGAGCAACAGAGGCCAGGCCCGGAGCAGCCAGGCCTGGAACAGCTCACTCCTCGCCTGCCCCCGCCCCAAGGCTGCCTCTCAGACATGGCTGGAAACTTTTGCAGGAACTTGAGGATCTGCTGAATCAAGTGATGAAGGCTTAGATCTGGATATGTTGAGTTAGTATAGTGCTGGGGTGTTGATCTGTGAGTGCCTTGTGCGGGGCCTGGATGAGGTTGGTTGACCTATTTGGAAGTGTCTTTTGTGTGAAGTGTATCTTTGGGCATGTGGAGGTATTATTGATATGAGAAAATGCTAAGTAACTGATTTGCTATCTGAAAAGGGATTTACTATTGGGGAAAGGGAGGGAGGAAGAGACTGAACAAAAACTGTGCACCTATGGATGAGGACAATGGGGGAGGGGAAGGGGGCTGAGGGTGGGGTGGGAACCTGGTGGAGGGGGAAAGAAATGAGGAATCTTTGTAATAATATGAACAATAAAGATTGATTAAAAAAATAAAACAAAACAAAACAAAAAAAAGCCTTTAATATTTTTCAATCCAAAATTGAATTTTCTCTATAGAAGTCTTGTACTTTTTTATACCCTAAAATTTAGTAGTTTTTGATGATATTGTAAGTGATGTTTCTAAAATTCAATTTTCGGATTGCTGCTTGTATATTGGACTGCATTTGGTTATGTTGATTTTACATTCAGTTACCTTGCTAAATTCTCTTCTTAATTTTAAAAATATTTGTGAGTAAATTTGGATTGTGAGACGAACGTGATAACCACTACACTATGGAAACTGCCGAGTAAATTTGGATTGTATGTACACAGTTTTTGGGTACATTATCTGATAGTTTCTTCTCTTCCTTTTCCACTTCTTACCTTATTGTGTTAGCTAGAACTTCTAGTATAGAGCTGATGAGAAGTGGTGATAACGGACACTCTTGTTATGTGCTGGCTCCAAAGAGAAGAATTTCAGTGTTTCAGTAGAAGAATGATGTTCACTGTTGGTGTTTTTGTAGATGTTCTATATCAGATTAAGAATTTTCTCTATTCCTAATTTGCAATATATTTTAAGCATGGATAGATATTAAATTATTATTGAAACACTTTCCTTGAATCCTTTGATACATTTTCCTCTGTAAACCATTATCGTTTATATGAATCAATTTTGCAATGCAAAATCAGCCTTCACTTCCTGGGATAAACCCAATTTGATTTTTATATATTTATTTATTTTAATATACTAATAGATTCAGTCATGGTATGTTAAGTCTGAATATGTTCATTCATATCCTTTAATATTTTTTAAGGTTTGTTGAATGACCAAACATATGGTTAATTTTTGTCCATGTTCTGTGAATTCTTGAAAAGAGTGTATATTCTGCATAATATACACTTAATCATGTTGTTCAAATATTTTAAATCCTTACTATTATTTGCTTGCTATGTTAAAAACTCAGGAGTATGATAATTGTGGACCACCCTGATATTCCTTATAGTTCTGCAATTGCTTTGTTTTTATCTTAAATGCACATAAGTAAAAATTTTATCTCTGTCATTTTGATGTGGTTCATTTTTCAGTACTGTTTCTTGCCTTAATCTGTTTTGATTTATAGTGACATCATCCTTTTCATTGTTAGTATTTGCAAGGTGTATCTTATTTCATCTTTTTATTTTCAACTTTTCTTTATTGGATGTGTCTTATAAACAGCATGGGTTCAATTTAATTTTTAAAACACAGTCTGACAATATCTTACTTTTATCTGGAGAATTTATTCTAGTTCCACTTAATATAATTAATGATATATCAATAATTACACATATTTTATTTTGTACTTTCCATTTGTCCTGCTCTATTTCTTTTTCTATTCTGTTTTCTTATTTTTAAATATGTTTTTTCAACATTTAATTATTTCTTAATTCCATCTTTTAAGTTATTCTTTCTGTTTCTTTTCTTTTACTTGTATAGTTATTTTATCAAATTCTAAATGAATCAGTGTCTTTAACTTGATTTTGGACAATAGAAGTAATTTAGAACAGTTTGCCATTAATTTCCTTCTTGACTTACATACTGTTCTGAATTTTAATTTTTTAAACTTCACGAGGCATTGTTATTACTAATTTACATAGTTATTTAATCATTACTCATGTACATGAATCTACAGATTTCTCTCTTTCTTTGTTCTTCATTTCTTCTTGCATTTCAGACCACATGCCTTAAATGCCTTTCCCCCGGCCTGAATTACATCTTACTTCTGATGGTTGAATTAATTGGGATTCATATCAAAAGAATAAAAACTATAGTAACAAGGGAAAAAAAGGAGCCTGAATTCTAGATAATGCATTCTTTCCTACCCCTCCAATGCCTGAAGAATATAATAGTTTCTACGGTTTGTGTTTTTCCAGAATCTGAGAGACTGTGGCCCTGGGACAGCTGGAAGCAGGTGAATAGAATAGCAGCTCAGCTTTGCTTCTTGCTGTAGTTGTGGCCAGTCATTGGGACAAATGTGTATTTCTGCTCCTCTGAGAAGGACCCATCCCTGACAGTTCGACTTAAGAATGTTTTAGATGAGGGTGTACACATTCACTGGTCCTCTGATGTTAGTTTCTGAGTTATGCCTTTATTTTGCAGAATGGTATGCATGCAGCTTCTATTTTTAGTGTTTTTATCTCTTTTCTTAAAGAAAGGAAAGGCTCAAGTGTAAAGTGCCCTTGGTTCCCAGTTATGCCTGAAAAAAAATTTGAAGTAAAATTTATTTCATCAGAAAGGACCAGGAAATCTTCCTGCTACTGGAGAGAATCAGGAGGTGAGACAACAAAGCCAAGTAGCAGTTGTCAGTGAGTGGCATGAGGTAAGCTGGAAAGCACACTGAATTAGGTCAGTGCAAACAATAGGGGCTTATTCAAGTCCTTGCCTCAGGAAGGTCAGGGACAAAGCGAGGATTTGTGATTATGTTTGTCTCACCAAGAGCCAAACCCCAGGTGTTGTAAGACTACAAAGCTATCTCATTGTCTCCCTTGTATCATCTAACCCAGCGATTCTCTGTGACATTTTCAATTGCTCAGTTCAGAGCAAACCAAACGGAGGGTAGTATTCGAACACATAGTGCATTTGTGGAATGTGGTAAGCTGAAAATATGAATGCATTCAAAGTGCATCTAGGACAAACATGTCTGCTACATTCATGACCTGTTGTTAAGGGGATGTTATTATAGAGTATTAGAGTTGGAAGGGACCAAAGAAATAGTTACATGCAATATTTGAGACCTACTTATATTGAAAATTAGTAATTGTTCACATTTAATATTATTATACTAGAGGCCCAGTGCATGAATTTGTGCATGGGTGGGGTATGGCTGGATTGGGCTGGGCCTGTCAGGAGGAGGAGATGGTGGGAGGTTGGCCAACTGGCCTACCCCGACAGGCCTGATCAGG